CTTCTTCTTCTTCTTCTTCTTCTTCTTCTTCTTCTTCTTCTTCTTCTCCTTCTCCTTCTCCTTCTCCTTCTCCTTCTCCTTCTCCTTCTCCTTCTTCTTCTTCTTCTTCTTCTTCTTCTTTCCATTTCTGGGAACAGAGGGATGGAATAGGGACCGGTCGGGAATAAGGCTTAGGCCTTGAAGTCCACCGAAGAGGTCTTCGGTATGTCTTCCATCCTGCTGGTCAGCCGACAGGACGAGTCCTTTCCTTCTCTTGTTCCTGTCTTCCCCTCGAGGGAAACAGGTGGGTTTGGGACAAAGTTGTTTGTCCTGTTTCGCTTTACAGAAAAACGTTTAGTTCTCTTTGCACGTCAAACAATTCTGATGATGATTCTGCGAATGGAAACCTTGAGCGCTGACAGTGAGTTACCATTCAGGTCCCAGAGTCCTCTGTCCTTGACTTACAGCCGTTCATTTAGGGACCGTTCAAAGTTACAGCAGCAGTGGAAAAAAAAGTGACTTACGACCATTTTACACACTTCTAACCATTGCAGTTTCCCCACAATCAAAACTCAAATGCTTGGCCACCAGCCTCTATTTATGACGGTTGCAAGTGTCCCAAGGTCCCACGCCAAGAAGACCAAGGACCAATCCTTTTGAAAATCTAGAAGTGTCCTACTTTTTATTATTAAGTTCTCCTCAACCCACTCCTTTCCAGATGTGTTCAAACTGCAATTCTCAAAATGTCTCGCCAGCATCGTGGTGATAGTGAGATCGGGCCTTTGGCCAGGAATTCAGGAAGGCGGATGTTCAACAGGTTAGGGCAGAGGTGGTATCCAGCAGGTTCTGACCAGTTCTGGAGAACCGGTGGTGGAAATTTTGAGTAGTTTGGAGAACCGGCAAATCCCACCTGTGACTGGCCCCGCCCCCATCTATTCTCCGCCTCCCGAGTCCTGGCTGATTGGCTGGGTCTTCTTTGGTTGCCCTGCACAGGAGAACGGAGCTGGAAAGCAGGTTAATGGGGCGGATGTTCAACAGGTGCAGAGGGAATGCAGATTTTGCAGTAACCTTCCCCTGCCACGCCCACCAAGCCATGCCCACAAATCCACCAAGCCATGCCCACAGAATGCCACACCCACCAAGCCACACTCACAGCTGATCGCCTGGGTCTCCTTTGGTTGCCCTGCACAGGAGAACAGAGCTGGAAAGCAGGTTATTGGGTGGGGAAGGAAGGGGGATATTGCAGTATATCCTTCCCCTGCCACGCCCACCAAGCCACGCCCACCAAGCCATGCCACGTGCATGGAACCAGCAGTAAAAAAAAAAATGTATCCCACCACTGTGTTGGGGCAGTTTTTCTCTCAGCCTTTGGCAGCTTAACAGATAATCAGAGTTGGAAGGGACCTTGTAGGTTATCTAGTCCAACCCTCTGCCCAAGCAGGAGACCCTACACCATTTCTGATAGATGGGAGTCCAATCTCTTCTTGAAAGTCTTAAGTGAAGCTTAAAGATGGGTTGACTTCAACTCCCAGAATTCCCCTGCCAGCACGGCGATCACATGACCAAGGGACACTGCAAAACTCTGTGGTTTCTTCCCCAAACCCCAAAAAACTTTAACCTTAGACAGTCTACTATTGACCCCACCCCTTTCCTAAGAGGTCTGTAGGGGGCGTGCATAAGCGCACCAACGTGCCTACCATCCCTGTCCTATTGTTTCTTTTATTTTATTTTTTCTTTTTCTTATATGTATTCATAACTATGTTTTTACTTATACCTATTCTCTTGTAAACAATTGACAAAAATAAATTAAATAAATAAATGAACTGTCATAAATATGTACTGGATTGCCAAGTGCCCAAATGTGGATCATGTGACCGCAGAGATGCTGCAACGGTCATAATTGCGAGGACTGGTTGCAACTTCCCTTTTTTTTTTCTTTTCCATTGCCATCGTAACTTTGAAAGTTTGCTAAACGAACGGCCACACGTTGACTGCCTGTAAAGTCCTTTTTTCCCCCTTCATGGATTAGGCAAGCAAAACATCGGCCGCTCACCCTAGAATAAAAGGTTTGTATGTTCAGCCTAAAGCGACGGGATTTGGTTCCCTGTAGATGCCACTTCAGAAGAACCGCGGACCCCTGGAGAACCTCCAACTCCAGCCCTTGCTTTGTCGCTTAACCAAGGAAGCGAACGCGGAGAGTCCTGGCTCTCGAGAAGGCACGGAATACGTTGAGCATTTCTGCCCAGGGCCATTCTGGGAGTTTAACCTCCACCCCATCTTCAAGCTTGAGAGGAACCCTGGTTTCGTGGATTCCAAACTTTGGGCAGCTCTCCTGAGGCATCGGGGGGCGCACGTGGTTCCATTTGACGGGTCGGTTTTGCACGTCGAGAGGCAGAATTCCTACGGCAAGAGGGTCGCCTTGCTCTTCTTTGAAGACAGAACAAAAGAGAGCCCTGTGCGCCCTTCCTCCACGGCATCTGGTCTTCATTAGAACAGCGAGCTGGAGTTGATGAAGGACAGATGTGAGGTAGAGTTCCAAAGATAAACTCAGGAAATTCTCCGAGTTCGATAGAGGGGGAAGGGTTGGACGGTTTATGGCTTTACTTCTCTCTCTCTCTCCCTCTCTCTTTCTCTCTCCTTCTCTCTCTTTCCTTTTCTTTCTCTCTTCTTTTCTCCTTTTTTCCCCCTCTCTCTCCTTTTCTCTCTCTCTCTCTCTCTCTCCTTTTCTTTCTCCTTTTCTCTCTCTCATTTTCTCTCTCCTTTTCTCTCACTCTCATTTTCTCTCTCCTTTTCTCTCACTCTCTCCTTTTCTTTCTGTCTCCTTTTCTCTCTCTCTCCTTTTCTCTCTCCTTCTCTCTCTCTCT